CCCCCCCCCCCCCCCCCCCCCCCCCCCAAATACCCAAGCCAAGCCTGCACAAATCCACAAATTAAAACCCCCCTCCACACCCAACCTCACCCACAGCCTTCCCAATCCGGCCCCCCAAGGGAGACCCAATCCCAGCATCCCAAACCAGGTTAGACGCACATGTCATTTCTGATTACAGACACAGTGCTCACATCAGCTGCTGCCACAGGCACTGTCTTTTATTCCTCCTCTCTTTCCCCTGTCATACACACACACACACACACACACACACACACACACACACACATGACCCATGAGTGTGTGCTTAAACCAATTTCACCTGGCTGATTGCCTATCCAGGCTGTATAAATTAGAATTTATCTAGCACTGCTTTTCAACAAGTGAATTTTAAAGGAACAGTGCAATGTTTGCTTTCTTGCCAAGAGTTAGATAAGAAGATTGACTCTGCTGCCAGCAGATAGTTAGCTTAGCATAAATACTTGGAAACTGGTGGAAACATCTAGCCTGTTTAGCTCTGTCTAAAGGAAACAAAATCTGCCAACCAGCACCTCTAAAGCTAATTAGCACACTATCTCAATTGATTATCTGTATGAAAAAAATATTTTAAATGACAAATTATGACTATTTCTTGGCAACCAGCAGACTTCAGGATGTTACTGCTCATGGCCAAGAAATAGTCCACCACATACTCCATTGTAATATGGCGAATTATCATTTCAAAACTTAGATTTTTGTAAAGAATGAAGACACAAGATATAGTGGCGACCTGATAACCGAGTGGTTAGGGCTACGTCAACAGTTAACCACAGAAAACATCTTTGACCAGTTGTGCAGGTGTATTTACAGTTGATATGTGTATTTAACATGGGCACTCATGTTAATCAATTTCGCTTTTTTTTTTTTTCATTGAGTCAATGGAGCGCCGGAATAAAATAAAAGCTCCTCTTTCACATCCTTTTGTGTTTTTTACTTAAAGATTACCTAAAATGTATTGTCGGGCAATCAAAAGCAAAACTGACATCCCTTCTTACGGTGCATACCACATGGCTGCATATGCTCTGAGCAGAGAGTCCCAGGTTTGATTCTCAGCTGGCTGGACCATTTGCTTCCTTACATTCACTTACTCTCTGTCCCCACTATTCTGGTCTCTTTCCACTGTGGGTGTCAAATAAAGGCATAAAAGGCCCAAGAAATAATCTTTAAAAATGTTATGCTAAACCAAGCTACTGTACAACTCTTGACAAGAAAGCAAATAAGCAAAATGCTGCATTATTCCTCTAACAGTATGTATTTATGTGGTCCAACTTCCACTGTAGTAGTTTTGAAACAATATGTTGATTAACAAGCTCATTTCAATTTTTTAAGCAAAATGCCCAACATTTCCTGATTTACTTCTTAAACATGAGGATTTACTTCTTTTATGTGTTTTATATAATTTCATATCAACTACATGTGAGTTTTTAGTCGGACAAAACGAGCACCTTGTTTGCTGTCCGTTTCTTTCAGAAGGAACACCCTGTGGTGTTCACTGTATTTACCTCTGATGACCTCTCCTCCTGTGTGGGACTGGCTCTGTAGGAACGACAGCATCACGGAGGGCTGGTAGGTACAGTCCACGCAGGCCTGGACAGCCTGCTGAAGCACTGCGTTGACTGGAGCTGGACCGAAGTGGTCCGGGAGCTGCTGCACTAGCTTTCTGTCAAGGCGCGGGCCATAGTCACCGTGCTTGTTTACATAGACACACACTGGAATGACACAAAGAGACGGAAAACATGAACAACCTAAACATTGTTGGATTGTTTCTGTTGACTGTTGAAATCCAACTAGAATCGACCCACAGAGAGTCAGTTGTATCTGTTGTCATATTTACCTGTGCAAACCACATTTGAGCCGTTGCTCTGGTTGTTGTCTGCTGGGACGTGTCCGGAGCTCAGTCTGGTCTCTGGAGGTGGAACTGTGACTGCTGGTGCCACCAGAGATTGCACCACCTGGGGCTTCTTCTGGAGCAAACAACAAACAAACCCGCTCCCATTAACTCTCTGTAGCCTACAAAGGCTGTTAGTTAATGATTTGTTAAAGGTGTATTTTAACTCTTTCACTGCTCCATGTGAACGGCACATAAAGCAGCTACTAAAGCAAAGCTGCTCTCCTCATTTATGGTGAGTAAACATCCTCAAACTCCTCCCTCCCTTAAACGCTCCACCTCTGACCTTGTCTCCTCTTTATCAAAATCTGCCAAAATTCTGCCATAATGCATATAAACATAAAATGACAGGGTCACTGGACCGCACTATAACAGATTACAACTCTTGTGACATCTCACCTTAAGCTTAGGCTTGGGCCCTCTCTTCTTGTGTGGTCTGGGGGCCAGTTGAGCCTCAGAGCTTGTTCTGACAGGGCTCTGTGACGCTCCATTTGATGCTGCTGCCGCCGCAGCCTCGGCCGCCGCCTTCAACAAAGCGATGGTCTGGGATTTGGGACGACGACCTCGGACACCCTTGCGCACAGGCAGGGGTGGCAAGGGGTTGGGCAGTCGGTATGAGGTCTGCATGGAGGAGGAGAAGGAGTTGGAAGAGGAGCGACGTGCCGTGAGGGAGGCTGAGGTGGAAGAAACGGGAGCAAGGAGCGCACTAGGGAGGGTAACTGGATAAAATGGGATATGAGAGGGAGAAAGATATTGTTATTCTTTGTGTGATGCACATGTTAAATTGCATTGCACTAAAAATGACCTGCAGAGGAGATTTGTTTTGATTTTTCAGAGTCCTCTGAGATTGGCAGGTCCTTTGTATTTAGCCCCTCCTTACAATGAAATCAGAGTCAAAAGTCACAAACCCCCAGAGACCCGCCTGCGGGACGATTCCTCAAGCCGTCTGCTTCCAGCAACACAACAAAAATAGTGATTCGATTTTAAATCTTTTTAATATAAGGCACTAGATACGTATTAGAGGCCAGTCTATTGGAAGTTCAAAAATCTGATGACAATATATCAGCTAATGCTAGTTTTTTAACACAAACATATAACATTATATCTTCGTAAGAATGTTTTGAATTTGGTTATTAAAGAATTGTGAGCTAGATGATTGGGGGGGATGAGTATAACGGTATAATGCAGCCAATAAAACATACAAAAAACTATGGTAAACTATAGTGGGCTACAATAAACATGAAATGAAGAAGACTATGGTGCGAGTAAATCAGTGCTATGGAGTAGTTAAGCTACTGGTAATGTTGCACCCTTAAAATGAACCGTCCAACAACACATCCATCTTCGTTTTGCAACTTTTATTTACAAACCCCACGGTTAAGCACAAGCACATTTTGCCTTCAGCCTGCATACATCACGTTCTCTCAAAACTCTCTTAAAGCGACAGTGCTTTCTTCTGAAGGGTCAGTACACCAACCCTCTTCCCTTTACAGTTAGCAAGCATAACTACTGAAGTAAAACAAATATGAATGAACTTAAACACATATTTAAAGCAAATTATTTTACATAGACACACTGATAGTAAATTAGCAAGAAATATGAATTGACATATTTCAGTGCGCTACAGTAAGCTTTTTGTAATGCGAATCATGTCAACATTTTTCAAATGTTTTTCAAAACATGGCACTGTACTAACTGTACTAACATTTGTTATTACTCATCAGCTGATCTGCACACAGACACTGATACTGGAGTGTATATTAACAGATTTAGAGGGAAAATATTAGAAATGGATTATTAGAAATACCATACTGGCTTATTCATAAATTTAAACAACTAACATACAGTATGTGAGTGTTTTTAAATAGCTGCTTTGGTTGAACCAAACAAGGGTTTGTATACGTATGTGAGCTTTAAAGTCCCTAGAAGTTCTTTGTGCTGACTGTGGCATATTTTTGCATTGAAACTGTCAAATTTTACAAGCTTCCAATGGTGGATAATTACTTTTCTGGGTACTGTATCAGCGATAACCTTCAATTGGCTGATAATATTAAGCCTGGCTGGTATATCAATCAGACTCCACTGCTGTTACAATCCAGCATCCTGGTGGTCTTGGGGTTTTGGTGCGCCAATCATGTCATCATAATGTCCCAGGTTCAAGTCTAGCTTTGCTGCATGCAATCCCTCCTCCTCCTACTGTCCACTATCCAAATAAATGAAAACAAAGCAACCTGCTTGAAGGCGCTTCATGGATCACAGAAACCCTCCAATTTCTCAAGAAAGAAATATTATTACAAAATGCCAATCAGCTTAGGTTTTGAAATGGAAAGAAAGTGACAATAAAGTCAGAAAAGGCAGACTATAGTCAGAAAAGGAAAAAAAGCAGTGGCACCACCACCCCACGTGACTCTGTGATATGATCACATAATCATCATGTTTGAAAAAAGAAGAGCGCAAATGAGAGAGAGAGAGAGGGAGAAAGATAACCATCTCCTATTTCAATACCAACATATTGCTTGGTTAGAGCAGGGGCCTGAGAGTGCATGTGGAGGCTCTCATGGGGCCGAGGCTTTCATTAGAGCCTGCTTGACTGACGCGATATGGAGAGACTATGGAAGGTTTACAGTATTCTCTGAGGGGCCGGCCGGGGCACCCTGAAAGCTGCTTAATTGGGAAATGAGAGAAAGTGGGCACAGAATAGAGTAGTGTTTTGTTTCAGAGGGTGAGGTCTCACTCGCTCACCAGGAGGGGTCACACAAAGCGTGCTCAAAGAGGAACAGAAACACTAACCTGCAGTGCACGCAGCGGCACGCTTATTCACACCGAGCTAGAAGCCATAAGCCCCACAAAGGCAGATCAAAATTTGTTTGCAGGGTACCAATCAGTATCAGCCGGTTTTAATTCACCATGGGAAATCTGAGTTGGGGGGGGGGACTTCCTCTGATCTTTCCCTGTTGTAAAAAGGAAATAATCCATTCACATTATGTGACAGACACCAAAGCAACATGTGCCATTTCCACACTGCCGATTACTGTCACACTCTTCCGTTTAGTTTATTATCACTTTTTTTTGTAAAAGTCTAATCACCTCTGCATTTTTTACTGCAACTTTAAAGAAAATCGGCTTATAAATGCACTTCATTCCACAGTGGCTGACAGAATCATATATATTCTGTATCCGCTTGTTCAAGCGCCTCAGCGAAGAGGGGAAGTGATATTTACACTGAGATAAATACTCAAACCTAAGCCTCTGTGTTTTGTATGGCGGCACCATTTCATCAAATGGATATATTCTAAATGTTTTGCATCATTTTATACACTATTTCCCCAAAATACATTGTGACATATCTGTTATCTATGGAAACGTGTTTGGCTGCACAGACTAAATACCTGAGCCAAAACTGGAAGGCTGCTTGTATGAAAAGGGTTAAAGTACGGGTCCATTTAATGTCAGCTCCTTAACTCCTTATTTGACCCACTGTCAAAAAACTGAAATATTCCATTTGAAATGATATAACACAGAGAAAAGTAGCAAATCTTCACATTTAAGAATGGGACCAGCAAATGTATATTTTGGTAGAATTAGACAATTATGCAAATGTTTTCAATTGACTAATAAATTAATTAACAGCTCAGCTCTATATGCAGGCAACCATTGTTTTCCATTCATATCTGTACTAAATGAAAATCAACAGTAACCAATTTCTGCCAGATGTGGTAGAAAAGACGCATCTAAATTTGTAAAACAGCAGTATGGTTTGCATAATGGTTAGATGTGATGTCAAATGTGATTCGTAGCATGGCTAAAATATGCAAAACCATTCATGTAAACAAGTGTATTATATTATACAAATCTAAAGCTGCTGAAAAATGACAAAAAAGAAAATAATTAGAATTATTGGTCCGAAAAAATAGTTTAAAAAACAATTGGCATCCCGAGCATGGAAACGGTACAACAAAACAGACATATGGTACTGATCATGACTATATAATTCCAACTCGACCCGTTGACCCGTGTAAGCTACAGCTCGAGGAAACGTGCGTGTGTGTGAGTGTACATGCACGCATGAGAACGGGGTCGCTGAGAAGTGTGTCCGCTGTCTGGGGGTGGGGGGAGGGGCTCCACAGAGTTGCCTCTCATCTAATTACAACCACCCCCTACACCCCCGACGAAACAGTCCAGTCAGCCACACACACACAGTGATTCTGACGCCGTATGAATCTCATGAAGTGCAGATTCAGGTTTGTGTGTGTGACTGTGTGCAGACTGCAGAGAGAGGGAACTAACTTAAATAGCTTCATGTCAAAAAGTTAAAAAAAACAATGTTTTCCTGCACAAACTCTTCGGCGTGGCACACAAACAACAAAAATATCACTCATGTTCTACCGAGACTTGTATGGATGATGACTTCTGAGCTGATCGTTTAAGTTCACGTCCTAAAAAATAAGAGTGCAAAGAGTTAGTGTACTGAAAACAGATATGCACTAATCCTTGCATGAGCCTTTTGCTAACTAATTCCTGATGCTTTACACACGCACACTACAAAACGTATGATCAAAAACACATGGAGCTCCAAACATAATTGGAGCCAAAAATACTGTTAGGTCTGCAGACTTTGAATCTCTCTGAATAGCAAAAGCCACTAGTCTCTTACAATAAATGTGAGCGAATGCAAGGCATTCTAAAAGGTCTCCGTGCCAAACAAAGAAAACAGTGTCAAACTGTAGCTTTAATCATTAACACCAGGGTAGGAAACTGCTACACATGTGAGATGACGTGCAACTTTCATCTGAACAGCAGATTTAAGCTTTCACTTCCCTTTTTTAATGTTTTACCAAGACACAAGCACAAAGGCAAGTATGAGTTATTTTAAGTAAATACTCTTTTCTATTAGCTATTCGAGGACAGAATTATCAAATCTCAACAAGAAATGATTTCCAAGACACAACTACAACTTCCTGATTTGACTGAATGACTTTCAATGTGTGCAGTATTCATTGATATTGATTTGTTACATTCTAGGGAAGTTTAAGTGGAAATAAAATCATATAATGCATAAAAAGGAACAGAAATACTTCAACACAAAATATTGTCTCATAAAAAAAACATGTTTTTGCTACTTAAATGTGCCTGCACATCACTTCAGTATACTGCAACTAGTAGATCTAATCCTAACACATCCTTTAAAACACAATCCAGGGAGAGATAAGTAACGGTAATGTAAACTGTAAGCCTCACAAGAAGTTTCGCTCTTTCATTTTAGTAAAAAAGTAGACAGAAACGACTTGGTAGACAAATCAAACTCACCAGGAAATCCCCTCCAACAATGCAGAACTTCACTGCTACAGTTGTGGCTTTTGTAGTCGCAGCAGCCGCAGTAGTAGTGGTAATAGCAGTGGAGGTAGCGGCAGTGAGAGTAGTAGTAATGTCCGTAACAATACTACTCCCTCAGTACAGTTGCTTCCTTGTTCTCTCTTAGAAGAAACTCTCTCTTTGGCGTTTCCTCTCTCTGACTAATTTTTTCCTCTTCCTAACTTCCTCTAAAATACTCTCCTCATCTGCACTTCATTGTCTATTTTCTGTCTCTCTATCAGTCGCTTTCTCAGGTCTCTCCGTGAGTCTCCCCTCTCTTTTCTCCCGGCAGTAGTCCACAACAAAGCCCACGCTGCGGCTTCTGCTTCTGCTGGTTGAAGCCGCTGCAAAGCTTCCCTCCCAATGA